TCTGTCCTCTAGATCTCTCCCCCCCCCCCCCCGCCATTCAACTGAGTGCCTTGCCTGTGTGTGTTAACTGGCACTGCACGTGCCAGGTTAACGACCCCATTTTGGCCACGAAATAATAATTTGAAGAATGAAGGGGGGTAGCTTTTTTCACACACTTATTAGCTGGCATTCTACACATATCTGGGTTGGAACAACCCCCCCCCCCCAGAATGCTTAATTTCACGGTGTGTCTATCTGAATGTATGTGGTGGTGGTGGTGGTGGTAGAATGTGAAATCAAGTTGCAGCTGACATATGGCCCCCTCGTAGGGTTTTCAAGACAAAGAGACATTCAGAGGTGATTTGCCATTTCATGTCTCCGCATCATGACCCTGGACTTCCTTGGTGGTCCCCCTCATCCATAGGGCTGCCAAGTCCCCCCGGGGGGCAGGGAAACCCCTACCCCAGAGGCCTGTTCCCTGCCGCCGGCGGATCGGGCCCCGGGGGGAACCCCACCCCAACGTGCGCGTCACCAGGAAGTGACGTTAGGATGCCGAGCACGCTGGGGGCGGGGCCACGACCATCTGAGAGAAAACCATAGAGTTTTCCCTCCGATGGTTGTGGCCCCGCCCCCAGCGTGCCCGGTGTCCTAACGTCATTTCCAGTCGCCGCCCGGGAGTCCCCCGCTGCGGCGACCGCAACGACTTGACAACCCTACTCATCCAAATACTAACCAGGCATGATCATGTGCATTTATGTACAAACAACAAATTACTTCGCTACAAAAGCAGGTCACACGATTGCAATATTAGAGCAAAGACAGCATTTAAATAAAACACAGGATTTTTTTCTTAAGACAGAAATACCTGTCCCAAGGCTTTTTATTGTGCACCACACAATTCCTGGACATGACCTGTGTTTGAACAACAGTCTAGTCAAGGTGTCCCCCACTCATTTAACCCTCTCAGAGAGGCCTGCTGGAGGGGGGCTGAGAGATGGGCAGCTCTGAGGCACTGTGGAAACTGTTAAGGCACCAGAGTCACCCTCAAATCATACAGTCATAGAATCATAGAGTCTGAAGGGGCCATCTAGTCCAACCCCCTGCCCAATGCAGGACCAGCCTAAAGCATCTCTTGACAAATATTCATCTAGCCTCTTCTTAAAGCTGCCAGTGAAGGGGAGCTCACCACCTCCCTAGGCAGCTGATTCCGCCTTTGAACCACTCTGACTCTGAAAATTTTTTTCCTAACATCCAGCCAATACCTTTCTGCATGTAATTTAAACTTCAGGTCCTATCCTCTGCTGCCAACTGGAACAACTCCTTGCCCTCCTCCAAATGACATCCTTTCAAATATTTAAAGAGAGCAATCATGTCCCCCCGTCAGTCTCCTCTTCTCCAAACTAAACATTCCCAAGGCCCTTAGCCTTTCCTCCTAGGGCTCATTCTCCAGAATGGTGAGAAAGGCTGGAGAAACATGTTAGTAAATAAAGGAAATAAAAACTGTGTGCACCAGCACATTTGAAAGGCACCCTCAAAAAGAAAAAAAAGAAAAAATGGGCCCAGAAAAGAAACAAGCACAAGACAGGAGAGGCCCTGCTTAAAAGCTAAGTCTTGTGAGCCAAAATTCTACTTTGTGAGTGACTGGCATTAAACTTGGGAGCCAGCGATTTGGCTGCTGCATAAATTAGTTTGCTCTGGAGCCATCCTTCCTGGGCTAAGACAAAAATGTGTGAAGCGGAGGCTAAAAAAATGTGAATTACCTCACACTAACTCCGCTTAGAGGGAACACTACCTGCAGCTCATGGATTCTGACCTCCGGGAAACAAAGGTGCTTCAGGTTAGAACTGATGCACTGGCCCCCACCATCAGCTTAGCAGCAAGCAGGGAGGGAGGAGGAAGAGGAGGAGCGAGCTGCGAATGGGAATGATGAGTACCTCGGTTGGATCGCCTGTTTCCTATCCTGCGAAAAAGCCGCTTTCTGTTTCGCCATCCGACCGAGTGACTGAGACATGGTAAGGAGGTGGGGTGGCTTTTGGGGTGGGGGGCGCTTTTCGCGAAGGCGTTCCTATCCCAGGATTGCGTGAAGAATGTCCCCTTCCCCACAAAAAAACACGGATCACAAGCGACGAGGCCTCCGAGCTGTACTCAAAGCTTTGCTTCTGTCCACAGGCAAACCGTAGAGAGAGACCGTAAGGCAGGGCACAACATTTAATCTTCTTAACAAATGCCTGTCTTGCTGCGCAGCCGAGAACGGGGCCGTTCCCTGCCTGTCGCTTTACAACCTAGTAGCGGCCAGCGAGATGGAGACAAAAGAGATGGGAAGGGAAAGGCGACAGAAGGGAGGGTACGCCTCCGCCTCCTCCGGGTCCTTCCTGGGCTGTTGGGGTGGGTGGGGGTGGGGTGGAGAGAGAGAGAGAGAGCCGGGTCTGTTCCTTGGATATTTTTGCAGCTTTCCAGTGACATCGAAAGCAGTATTATGCCCTTCTGAAAAGCGACTGGCCTTAAAATGGTCTAAAAGAAGCCAGTTTGGTGTAGTGGTTAAGTGTGCGTTCTCTAACCAGGGAGAACTGGGTTTGATTCCCCACTCCTCCACTTGCACCTGGCTGGATGGCCTTGGGCAAGCCATAGTTCTGATAAGAGCTGTCCTTGAAAAAGAGCAGTTTCTGTCAGAGCTCTCTCAGCCCCACCTACCTCACAGGGTGTCTGCTGTGGGGAGGGGAAGGGAAAGGAGTTTGTAAGCCACTCTGAGACACCTTTGGGTAGTGAAGGGCAGGGTATTAATCCAAACTCTTCTTCTTCTTGTGTAAGACAGGCTGCCTACAAGAAAACTCCTTGGCAGCCTTAATCGGACAGCATGACCGAATGTATACATGATCTTTTGACCTGCAAGGCCCGGGGAAGCGGATCTCCTGCAGCGAGAAGGAGGGCTGGGCAACAAACCTTTCATGGGGACGGTCATGGTGTGCTTTAAAGACTGCGGGGAATTTAATTTAAACACGAATTCAGGGCCACTTCAGCACTGTCATTTTTGTCACTGGTTTGTCCCTATTTCACTATTGCTTTGGGTCCCCCCCCCCCTTTCCCACATGTGTTTTGCTCCCTCTGGGACTAGTAGAGAGGTTTTAGCAAGGAGCAATAGAGTTCATTGCCAAAGTAATCACAAAGGTATTTTTGAGGACAAGGTACAGGACAACTGTGCCTGTATAGGCTGATATTTTGCTTTTGTCTGTTTATTATGAATAGGGCATTTTAATAGATAAGGGTATCTTCTGCCACATTTGGGGAACAAATATGACATCTTGGATCATGGAGAATATTTCTGTAGTGATCAGAATAATGGAAAGCATTTGCTGGAACCTCAAATGTTTGACTCCTCTGTGTGACTAGGGTCTACCTGGGAACGGCTGCCTTGATCAGGTTTAGTTTGGTCTTAAGAATCCATAGAATGCATTGTGTACAATTAAATTAGGGGCTCTTCCTGGACAATTTTTCAAATTTTTAGTTGCTTTTTAAGGAAGAAGGGCTTTTTCCTCAGTGCTATGGTAAAATGATTCTCTGTGTTTCAGAGAATATCCTGAAGCTTTTGTTCCACTCTAAGGTGTTACAGGACTCGAATATAGTTATTCTATGTGTGAGGTCCTTTTCCCTCCACTTTAGGATCCAGTAATCCTAACAGAAATGATGACTCAGATAACAACGAATTTTAGGATTTTAAAAACCAGTTTCTCTATCTGAGGACACATTAAAGGATTACATAAGTATTGTGAAAGTGAAAATACTGCATGTCAAAGGGAAAGCAGCCTCTGACTTCTTTTTGCTGTGCTCTCAAGGAGGAAGGGCTCTAGTATTCACTCAGGAACATGATCCAGTGTATTGGGAATGAGAAGGGAGAGAGAAGAAATAGTTAATTTTGTATTATTTTAAATGTCGTAAGCCACTTGGGGGATTTCAAAGTCAAAACATGGGATATAAATAAACCCAGACCTTGCTGCAACTTTCCATGCAATGCAATTGTGAGCACTCATTTTCATAATGTTTGTTGTTGTTCAGTCGCACAGTCGAGTCCAACTCTTTGCGACCCCAGGCCTTCCGGTCTTCCGCCGTCCTCTGAAGTTTGCTCAACTTCATGTTCGTTGCATCAATGACACTGTCTAACCATCTCATCCTTTGCCGTTCACGTCTTCTTTGACCTTCAATCTTTCCCAGCATCAGGGTCTTCTCCAGTGAGTGCTCCCTTCTCATTTGGTGGCCAAAGTATTTGAGCTTCAGTTTCATTATCTGGCCTTCTAGGGAACAGTCAGGGTTGATTTCTTTGAGGATTGACTGATTTGTTCTTGCAGTCCAAGGGACTCTCAAGAGTCTCCTCCAGCACCATAGTTCAAAAGAATCTATTCTTCGGCGCTCGGCCTTCCTTATAGTCCAACTCTCGCAGCCATACATGACTACTGGGAATACCATTGCTTTGACCATGTGGACTTTTGTTGGCAGGGTGATGTCTCTACTTTTTATCATGCTGTTTAGGTTCACCATCGCTTTCCTCCCAAGGAGCAGGCGTCTTTTAATTTCATGACTGCTGTCACAGTCTGCGGTGATCTGGGATCCCAGGAACGTGAAGTCTGTCACTACTTCCACGACTTCCCCTTCTATTTGCCAAGGAGTGATGGGGCTGGATGCCATGATCTTAGTTTTTTTGATGTTGAGCTTCAAACCCACTTTTGCGCTCTCCTCTTTTACTCTGAGCAAGAGGCTCATTGCTTTTCCCTGATGTTCTGTGTATACAGTGAGTGTGTCCCCCATATAGGGCTATAGTTAAATATGCTGCACTCCCACCTAATCAGGTGTTCTGTCAGGGTTTCAGGCTGACGACCGTAATGCAGATGATGCTAGCACATATGAGGGACTTCCTCCGCACTCATGAAGGGTAGAGGGGTTTTTTGTAGAAAAATAAAATGTAATATTCGAAAGATTCAACACAAGCCAGTCTCAGAAGATTGTGTCCTGCATTCTGTCTTGCAGCTCTGAAGATCCCTTTGTCATAAGGACAGTTTCCCAGTTTAGTGTAGGAGATAGCCAGGGAATGCGGCTGAAGAGTCTCTTGGCTGTTGAAATCACAAGGTGTGGGGGAAGGTTTTTTTCCTGCCTCAAGAGCTGATAAATTATCGGCTTATCCGGGGCATATCCCCCCCCCCCTTCCTGGCAGAAGGCATGTGATGCCTAAACATTTCTTTGTGGAGGAGTTTCACTTTACTGCCAATAACAAGCTGTTTTGCAGCAGAGATAGCAGATACCAGTTTTTTTAAATCTAGCCTACCAAAGCTTTCTTCTTGTTGCATGCAGGCTGGTGTCACTGCTGTGCAATGATAAGTCTGTGGGCAAGTTGTTTCCGGGAAGGAACTAGCTTCTTGATACCCAAGCAGGGACTGATGGCATCAGACACGCTGGCACCATATGCGCCTCCATATACTCCACCAGCTGTTCCACGATAACCATGGCAGAGGTTGTGGGGAAATATTTATAACAGCTGAAACAGTAAATATTATGTGACAAAGACAAAGGGGGGGGGGAACAGGGAAGAGAGATCACTTGGATGCAATTATCACGTTTTATTGCATCAGGACAGAGTTGCACCTGTTAAAAAACAGCTGTGTAAATACATTTGTATTTCTATGCACCTGTTAACAGCTGGGTAAATACATTTGTATTTCTATCATGGAAATCCTTTTTACCAGCCTGATTTGCCATCCTGCCAGGCATCGTGTGTTCATGATGTCTTTCAATCATGTACATGCTGCCTTTTATTTCTGAAAATAAGGATTCAGGTGGATCACTGGAAGGGGGGAGTAGTCCATAGATGAGTAGTCCATAGATGAGGGGCCACTACCAAAAAGACCCCTTTCTCCAACAGCCATCAACTTCACTTCTGAACACACGAGTACCCCAAGATGCTCTGAGCTGAATGACCTTGGGATGTTGAACCCTAACCAAACCACATGTTCAGAATGTACTGAAGGGCTGTTGTAGCGAAAGCATTGAAGGGCTTTAGGGGAGGAGCCATAGTTCGGAGGCACCCTAATTGGGTAAAAAGGTAGCATACAAATGTTGTAAATAAATGGAATTTTGCACAGAGTTTTGCATAGAGTTTTAAATAAATAGAGTTTTCCCAGCATGGTCACTTAAAAGGAACCTGGCTAGTAAGCGCTAGGAAAGTTTCCTTCCTGCACAGCCACTGCCAGTCCAAGTAGGCAATACTGAACTAGACGAACCACCTAGTGTGACCTAGTACAAGGCCACTTTGTCTGTCCCCCCTTATAAGAGCATCCCTAGTGTATCACTGCCACACTGAGTGGTACTTATTTGATGAATTTATGTTCCACTTCTCAGTCAGATGGACCCACAAAGAGGTTGACAATTAAAATCGATCACATTTTAAAATTAAAGACAGTTGCTGTGATGCACCAATCCATTAGTATGTTCTCCCCACATAAAACAAAGTTTCACTAAATACTGCAGCATCTGTCAGGAGCTCACAGGACTATCTGTTCATGGGGATGTTGGGGGGACATCCCAGATGTTAGTCCTCCACTTTCACATTCCAGCTGCTGATGACTTCAATAATTCACTCTATGGTGATCCTTCCTAATGAAAAGGTGGGGAGTTCTTTCCTGGAAGCGCATCTCACTAAAATTAACGTAGGCAGAACAGATGTGACCCAGAAGCTGTTAAGGCCAAGAAGCTGCTGATTAAAGACAGAGCTATAGATTAAGAGAAACACGGGGTTGTCCCTGATAATGGCAGTCCCATGATGACACCAGGAGTAAAGCCCTGTTTCCTGATTTCTTCATGTTATGGGACGTGAGGTGGGACCACACACAACAATATGCCATCAAGACAATAGGGCATGAGAAAGACAGATGCAGTCTTTATTGCATTACACAGGAGAATGAGGAGAACTTGCAAAGAAGGTGTCATGGGGATGCAGCTCTGTATTTCTTGGAATAAGCCATTCTGTCCT